CTACCATTGCCCCAGCCAGTAGCCCAACTTCAGCATCTCCTAGTCCCGTTGTCACTGTCACTGCCACATCTACACCTTCTTCTTCCCCTTCTGCCTCATCTTCTACTCCTTCCAAAACATCTCTGCTATCAACCAACAAGCCCACCATCCCTAAAAGCCCTGCTCATGTATTGCCTCCTGTCAGAGTTGCTGAATGGCCTGTTGTCCCAATCTCTGCTGTTCTTGGACAGTATCCCTTGCAGCCTACCTCTGTCATGCAGCTTCTTCTCCTTCCTCCCGGCTTTGGTCCTAGGAAGTCAAAACCTCAGGCAATTGCCATCTCTTCTCTGTTTCCATTTGGAGTAGGGCCTTCTAACATTTGGCCAAAGAAAATAATGCTCAAGCCCCCAAAGAACTTACCAACAACTGCAAAACAGGACAAGTTCTCACCAACGAAATCGTCAACTGCTGCAGGATTGGAGAACTCCTTACCAACGAACCCGCCAACTAGTGCAAAATGGGATAAATTCTTATCACAGCTACGGGATAACAGAGTGCAACAGCTGATGCAGAAAATGCGAGAGTTGATGGGTAAAGGGAAAACTGTAAAGAAACAGCTGTTGCAGTCCACCTCTCTGCAACTGCTGTCTGCGCTGAAGAATGTCAAGCAAAAGTCTTTGGCTTCCTTAGCATCTAAGAAGCAACTTCAAAGATGACATGGCCACATAGGCCGTTTGCCTCTTTTGTATGGTAGGCAGGACGCTTCATGGGCGCGTGTCTTACAGCACCATTACACGAGACCTTTCCATATACTTGCTTGTGGTTTACCTGATTCCATTCCTGAATTCTTTCTAAGGTGTTCCTTATCCCTTTGAGATGATGGGATCAAAGCAGAAAGGTTTTCCTCTGGAGATTTGAAGGACCGGGGGACTTGGAATTCTTTGAAACTGCACTAGGGAAGGGTGCTTCCAGACCCTACTTTAACCTCCGTTAAAATGAAGAATCTCATTGTTAACCGGGCCTTCCTTTAACTGAAAGGCCTCTCGCGATTTCTGAATGGAGGAGACAGATTATTTATTCTTAATTTTAGTTTGAGATTGGACATTAAAGAAATGTTTTGCAGAACTGAGCGGAGTTAGTTCGCAAATTCTGCCCCTCCCCCACCCCCACCCCCAAAGAGGTTATCCCCCAAGTATAGATAGTCATCGACTTATGGCCACAATTGGGACGGGAACCTACGTTGCTAAGCAAGGCTATCGTTCAGTGAGTCAGACTTGATTTTATGACCTTTCATGCCACGGACATTAAATAAATCCCAGCAGTCATTAAGTATAAATCATGTGTTTGTTAAGTGAATCCATCTTTTTCCATTGACTTTATTTGCTGGAAGCTCCTGGGAAGGTCATAATTGAAGATCTTGTGACCCTAGGAAGCTACAGTTATGATAAATACATACCAGATGCCAAACCTCTGGATTTTGTTCACGTGACTGTGTGGATACTGCGATGGTCATAAGTATGAAGACTATACTTATGGTCTTCATAGCAGAGGTCATAGACCTTTTTTCCCAGTGCTGTCATAACTTTGAATGGTTGTTAAAGGAATGGTCTTAAGTCAAGGACCATCTGTAGTTTATTTTTCCTTTGCGGGAATCTTTGGAAAAACTTCATTTCCCATGACCCTCTTCACCTAAGCTGAACTGGAAGGGCCACAGAGACAAGGAAGGAAGGACGGGAGGGGGAAACCTTCCATTTTTCAGTGGTCAACCAATGTGGTTGCCGCTCCTGCAAATCTGTCAATTGAAGGGAAGGGGTGAATATAAAATATTTGGAGACTGGAAAGAATAGCAAAGACATGCAATCTTTTGGTCATTTCATTGAAGTTATAAGGTCTGTTTGGCATGAATATGCACAGCGCAACTACTTCTCAATGTACTTAGCCAGCACTGATGGAGATTTTCATTCTCTCTTGCAGAACGCTGTTTATTTAGAGACCATATAGGCTGGGATTTTAAACATTCATGAAAGAGCATTTTGGTTCTATCAGAGGTTCTCTGTACACACATTTGCACAGAGAGAGAGAGAGTTGGGCACATGCCAATGAGTGGGTAGGAAATGAACTGCCAATCATTGCACCAATGGGTTTATACCACCACTGTCTTTTTAATATATATCGGGATGAAAGGCCTTATTAAAATTCTTTGTTGGAGATATATTTTGTTTCCTTTTCAATTGCTGTTGAAAGACTTCAGGGAAAGCCTTTCCTAAGTCAGATTCTTAAGCAAAGCAGTTATCTGAAAAAAGTTTAAGTTATTTGTGTCAGATCTATTTTGGGTTAGCAATAGCAGTAGCACTTAGGCTCATATACCGCTTCATGGTGCTTTTCAGCCTTTTCTAAGCAGTTTTACAGAGTCAGCCTATTGCCCCCAACAGTCTGGGTCCTCATTTTACCCACTTCAGAAAGATGGAAGGCTGAGTGAGAATCAAACTGCTGGCAGTCAGTAGAATAAGCTTTTAATTCAGATTCTAACCACAGCTCTACCTATATGTTTGGGGGGGAAGTTAAACCACAATGTATTTATCATATATATTTCTATACCAAGCAAAATAAATCAGGGCAGTTATCAAAATTGTATTGTGTTAGAAATGGAAATTCTGGTCCCTATTATGGTACTAAGTCAGGGAATATAATATTCTCCAAGATGCAAAACATCAAGAAAGGCTGGGATTGCCTGATTTAAAAACTGTATTTTGTAGCCACCTGTTTGGTCTGGATGAAAGAGTGGATGCTACTGAGAAACAAAAGAATTTTAGAATTAGAAAAGCACAAACTAAGATTTGGATGTTCCGGTTTTCTATAGTTAGATAAAGTTAAAATTAATATATATTTTTAAAATCATTATGTCAGAAGTGCCATATTGAGAATAAGCAATAGATATAAAACCAGATGTTGCCTGCTGATTCCTGGTTGCATGATACAAGCACATAAGCAGGTGATCCTGTGCTTCTCATTGTAGTACATATAGATACAACATGAGGGGAAAGCAGAAAAATGCACACGTTACTTTCTTGCACAAAAGAAAATACAAATGCTTTCTTCAGTAAGGAGTTTCAAAAATTCAAGAATCCCTGATTCTTTTAATATTAGAATATTTTTAATACACAATTATTAGGAGACCCGTTAGAAGGAGAAGTATCTGGTCATTCAGAGGGTTTCAGAAACCATATATGTTTTTATACATAAAGATATGTAGACTCGGGCATCATGCTTTCAACAACAAGATGGCATTAGCTTCTCCAGAATTGATTCTGAGAAAATACATGATGATTTGGCAATGCTTAACAAATTAGCCCTGCTGAAGCACAACATGTATTACAGTTGTGGTTTTTTAAAGTTCGTGCTTCACAATTTTCCATTAATCACTGCTGAAATCCAATTTCTGTAAACAGAGATTTGCGTGTAGACTGTTGGAGACTCTGGTTCACAATGGCCACTGCTGCCCCAGCTCACAAGACCAACAAGCTTATAGCGTCCATCAATCTTGCATATAAGCGGTCCCCCCAAGTCTTGCTGTAAACAGAAGGAGGGACAGAATGAATAGGATGCAAAATAGTAAGCATTTTCAGCCACAATACATAGCTTAAAATCAACCCGTGATTCCATAGCAGGGATGTCAAACTCAAGGCCTAGCGGGTGGATCCGGCCCGGAGGATGCTTAGATCTGGCCTGCAGGGCTGCCCTGGAAACAGCAATGGACTAGCCCGCAGTGCCTCTGCCAGTGAAAACTGAACTCAGGAGGGCCACCATTTTTGCTGGCAGAGGGTTGCAGGAGGATGTCACAGCTGAAAATGGAGCTCGGGAGCCCGTTTTCGCCGGTAGAGCACTCAGGCCACCACAGGTGCCCCCAACATGAGTGATGTCGAGCTGGCCATGCCTACCCTGGCCCCCTGAGGTCAACTACAACCCTGATGGGGCCCTCAATGAAATCGAGTTTGACACCCCTGTTCTATAGAGTTATAGTTTATCCATGGCACAAGAAATGCAACAATCAATGATACCCTCCTGATATTTTAACTGCAGCTTCCTTTATCGCTGCTGATAGTTGCCCTCCAAAACATCTGGGAGGCAAAACATTTGATTGTCTATTTCTGATTTATGGCTTCATATTTTCAACACCCATCTGAAGTTCTTGTACCATGTGGGGACAACGATTCAAAATAAGCAGGACCGTATCATATCTATGGGCAATTTTGTTTGTTTCTGGAGAAGCACATTCTATATACTTCCTTCTTTAAAATGGCAGGGAACTGCTCCATTGATTCTCTACAGCTGCAATGCTGATTTGTGGCAGGGCAGCCAGAAAGCTTTCTGGTGTCAAATACAGTCTTGGGATCACATTGCCCATCATTTTAATGGGTAATCTTACTGATCACATTAGAAATTTCAGTATGATTGACGCCTCTTCAATTAACTGGTCCCAAATGCAAGATTACACTTCTCCCATTTAATGACAATATCCCACACCCGTTACATACAGCACACGAAGTTGTCCCCGTAGCACTTCCACATATTTTAGTGTTTTTAATGTCTTCACCCCAGTATCTGGCACAGGCATCATTTGTGAGGAGTGATATTTGTGTTTGCTGCAGCCTTCTGGAAAGCCAACCCTCTGGATGGAAAACAAGCAATACCAGACAAATATTATTTGATACATGCAACTGTGGAAAAAGACTTATTAAGTTGTTTTTATCAAATAGTTCCCGACAGCCCAGGTATAAGTTTCTACCAGTGAAAATAAGAATATGAGTCACCAAGCAAAAAAAAAAAAAAAAAGATTCTAAATGCATGTTCAAAGAAAATAATCCTTATGGAAGGCTTAGATGCACACATTTCTATACACACTCTTCTCATGATTTTTGTGAGATTATTTAGGAGTCAGGGAGGGGAGTCCTTCATTTGTTTCTACTGAGAAGTTATTCCTCTAGGAGAACCTGTTCAGAACAGTAGATGGAATTTTAAAAAGGGGTAGATGGATAACTAACTATCCTTTCTTCTTTCTTCTCTGACCTCCTCTTTTTCTCTCTGTAATTTAGCTCTCTCCCAAATAACAAGTTACAGAGAAAAAAGATCTTTCTCTCGCTGATGGCCTGAAATGATCCCTTACACAATTCTTGATTTGTGATGTGAAGACTTCACATACCGGTGCTTATAGCATCAAAATGAGATCTATAATGCTCAAAGCGTTCCAGCCGATGTAGTAGAAAACGTAAGTTTTTCTTGAGGGACAAAAGAACTTAAACAAAGTGCTAAGCCACCTGGAACCTAGCTCTCTGGAGAAAACTTTTGATGCTGGGGAAAATGGCAGGAAAGAGAACAAGAAGTTGAGTAGTAGTTGAAAGGTGGATGGGCTCAGTTACAGTGGTGATGGGGGCACCATTGGAAGAGCTGAAGGACAAAGGTTAGGGTCTGATCAGAGTGGACACAGTGGCACAGAGGTTTAATGACTTTGGGACTGCCAGCCAGAAATGGTCTGCACTCCAGTGGTTTGAGTCCAGCACCATGAAACAGAGTGAGCTCCCATCGATCGATCCCTAGGTCCTGCCCACCCAGCAGTTTGAAAGAGGGCAATATTGCAAGTAGATAAATTGGTACCACTTTGGTGGGGGGGAAATCTAACTGTGCTTGTGTGTGGAGAGTAAAAACCAATGCTGGACATAGTTAGACATGAGGCATCGTGACATGCAGCAAGGAGAGACTGGTGGAGGACCCTGGAACAGCCAGCAACCCAAGTGTCACAATTGGTGTAAAGCTAGTTTGCCCACTCACTCACCCCACAGTGCACCAAAGATAGGCACACAAGCACCAAATGGAATGAAGTAGCAATCTAGGCTGTTAGGAATGCATTGTGTCCAGCATGTGTAGATTCCCCTGGCATTGTATGCCAGATGCTAAATAAATAAGGGTCAGATCCTTGTGGGGAAGATATTGGAAATGACCAGGCAGAGTCTGAAGATGGGATCAAATGTTTCATTAGTTTGGAATCACTGCACTTCCAAAAGAGACCCAAGTCCTGCCTCCTGTGAATTCCATTGACTCTTATCTAAAGCCAATTTGCCTTGATCATGGTAGATAGTAGATCAGATTCTTTTGTATTGGTAGCATGTCATAAACTTGAAGTGCTTTGAACTAAATTTCTCTTCCTGGTTACTTGTGCCTGACAGAAAATCTACTTATGTGATCGCTAAGAGTCAACACCAACTTGATGGAACATAATCAATCCAGCAGGACAGGATTCAAATATTCCAAATGTCAACTAAAAAGATACTCCTTTGGTCTTTTTAGCTGCCAGAAAAAGGGACTTGGGGTAAACAAGGCATTCTTGAAATGCCTAGATAATCACCGGGGTTGTCAGAGCCTAAGAAGATTATTGGAGAGCATGATGAATGACTCTTGGAGACAGATGTGTCCCATTGGAGAAGTCATATCCAGCGGGTGGGGGAAAGACCAGGGTCAAGGGGGAAATGTATGATGTGATATAGTATCGGCTGCACCCAGCCAAGCACCAACATGGCAATTTCTAATAAACCAATTTACTTTTTCTGAGATGCAGCTAGAGACTTTTGATTTGGATGAGGGTGGAATTGTTGGAGCCCTGACAACAAATAAAAGTGAGGACTTCTTACACACCTTCTTACATCTCTACCTGCCAAACTAGTGAGGTAGTCCAGATAGGAAGCATTGATCAGATGGGCTAATTCTACTTTATTGTAAGGTTACATTAACAGAATCTCATAAGTTTGAAAGTACATTTCTTCCCTGTCACCTGTACAGCCCCAAAAGCTAGGGAGGGTCCCACCTGAGATCTTCATCATGACCACATTTCTTTTACGGGCTAAGCTGTTCTTACTGAGCCCTTCCCCTGGTTATGGATCTTTCCCCTATCTCCAAAAGTCACTCCTATATACCATTACACCAGAGGTGGTATTCAGCAGGTTCTGATCAGTTCTGGGGAACTGGTAGTGGAATTTTGAGTAGTTCAGAGAACTGACAAATACCACCTCTGATTGATCCCGCCCCCATCTATTCTCTGCCTCCCAAGTCCCAGCTGATTGGCTGGGTCTTCTTTTATTGCCCTGCACAGGAGAATGGAGCTGGAAAACAGGTTAGTGGGGTGGGGAGGGAATGGGGATTTTGCACTAACCTTCCCCGCCATGCCCACCAAGCCACACCCACCAAGCCACGTCCACTGAACCGGTAGTAAAAAAAAATTGAATCCCACTACTGCATTACACCATGGAAGAGGAGGAGGGAGGAGGAGAATTAGAAACCCAATACAGAAAGGAACAGAATGGGCTTGTAGGACTCCCAAATGCCAGCTTACCATACTGCAATATTTTGTTTTAACTCCCATTTGTGGCAGTGCAAAGCCATTTTTCACAAATGTGTACTTTCAGAAACACTGGCTAGATAATATCAATCACTCTCACCAGTTATGTTCCATCCTGCAGTCAAGCACTTGGCATCAGTGGCTATTTTCTCCTCCTGTTCTGGCAGACAGATAAATCCTATGGTGTCTCCTAAAAAAAAGAAAAGAGGAAATAAAGCATAACTGGGTTATGGTATATTCTAGGCAAGGTATTCGGAGATCTTAAAATTGATATCATCCCTTCAAAGTAGGCCAGATTAAGAAACAGTTTCAGTAGGGATTCCAGGAGAGCTCTTTATTGATGTAAGTTAAAACATCAAAGTTTGGAGAGCTTTTTCCAGTTCCTCTTTGTCTCACTTTAAATTAATAAAATCAAGCCAGGGTTATGTTGAGCCAGGTGGCGCAGTGGTTAGAATGCAATATTTCAGGCTAATTCTGCCGACTGCCAGCTGTTCAAGTCTCATCGGCTTGAGGTTGACTCAGCCTTCCATCCTTCTGAGGTTGGTAAAATGAGGACCCAGATTGTTGGGGGAAATAGGCTGACTCTGTAAAACTGCTTAGAGAGGGCTGTAATGCACTGTGAAGCAGTATATAAGCCTAAGTGCTATTGATATTACTATTTTGAGTTTGTTTCCCATGCTTTCCTCTTTCTGGAGACCATATAATCTTTTCTGCCATTCCCCAACATCTCATTCTTCTTTTGCTTTCCTCTAAATTTTCTAAATTCCTGTAAACTTTCTGATCACAATCATAGGAGGAGATACTCTCCTTTTTATGCAGATAGCAATAGATTCACGCATGACAAACACTGGACTACTTCAGTCTGATAGGGTGAATCTTCTGCAAAACAGCATTTGTACAGCCTAGCCCTAGAGAGCCCTTGTCCATTTACACACAAGGCTTCTTACTGAAGTCAGTTCACAGAAGGTACAAATCAATGGAACTCAATATGACTATTTTAGTACTTTTGACAAGCCATTGTTACAAGACCTTTGGCATGGTTCTGGCCCATAAAGTTTCTTTAATCTAGCAACTCTGGTTCATCTGGTTTCCAGCTCAAACTTCTTTGCACTGACATTGTAGATAAAGGTCTTGAACCAATTACAGTACCTCCCCCAATTACAGGTCTCCCCCATTACAGTACCTGTCTGAATGGGGATCTCCAGTTCTAACAGACTAATGTCACTGCTGGGAGGCAAACCACTGAAGTTGGTATGGAAGTAGACAGCTTTCACTGAGATCTGAGTGCCACCTTCTGTACCAGGAAGCAGGTTAGTGATCCCTAGGACAGCTGTGTCTGTCCGAGTGCTAAAAGAATAACATTCCGAGTTCACCATATGCACAATTTAATCATGGCAATAGCATGTTTGTTTGTTTTTTGCAAAGAACAATGCTGTAGATTATCTATGTTCCGAACTAGCAGGCTCGTAAGCCTGAAACTCTAATTGCTTTCCTTCCACGGCAGGCTCGTAATCCTGCACTTTTGATTGGTCCGTGAATAGCCGATCGTGATTGGTCGTTTTAGACTAATCTGATTGGCTAGTTAACGGGTCGCCGCGATTGGACGCCCCAAGCGCGGCAAACTCAAATCATTGGATGTTTTGACAGCAGCCAGCTCTATAAAAGGAGCTGCTGCTGCCTGAGTATTTCGCTCTGTTCTGAAGTCACTAATAAAGAGTTGGAGTCACTATTCGATGCCTCGTCTCCGTTCTTGCGCCCACTCTCCCAGATCTAACACTCTACACTCTGAGAACTAGATCCAAGTCCAGAAACTCACAACCCTGACTCCCTCTTTTCGATACGAAGACAATCTGAAGCCCCAAGAAGAGAGTAAGATCTAAATTTGACAAATTAAATAAATAATACAACCTTTTGACGCTCTTGAGGGATTCTACAATATATTTTTAATTAGCAAATTTGTATGGTTAGTTTACAAAACCAATAATTGAAATATCAATGGCTAAAAATCTATCTTCATTACTTCGTAATGAAAACTTATCCAATGTGCACTTCCTGGATCTGTGCCCCGGGCGTTGCTGAATTACAACTCCTAATATGAACAATACAGAGGAATACTGGGAAATGTAGTTTAGCAACACCTGGAACACCCATTATATAGCAATACTATATTTACTATATTGCATTTCAGTTTGCTACTCAAAATATTTGCCCACCGATTCATATATCAGAGGATAGGAAAAAATTATAGGAGAAACAATTTGCATAAAGTGTGTCCATTTAGGGAAAATGTATATCTGAGTAATATATATATATAAAGGTATATATAAATTACATTTAGTCCTAGACTTACAACTGGTCATTTAGTTGTTCAAAGTTATGACAGCTTCCCCCTCCCCCATCACATGATTGCATTTTGGAAGCTCAGCAACTGGCCTGCATTCACAGAATTTCAAGTGTTTCACAGTCACGTGGCCAATAATTTATGACATTTTTGCTGGAAATCAGTTTTTAGCCAAAAACAAGCCAGTAAACAAAGGGTTTAACTTAACCACTGTGGCGTTCGCTTAATAAGCATGATGTTCTCTTAAAGGTTGCTGCAAAGATAGGTCATAAAATCAGACAAAGTCACGTGAGGGCCCACTAAACGGCCTTCAAGTCTTACAATCATAATTGTGTGTCCAATTATGATTGTAAGTCAAAGACCACCTATTCAATGAACCTCTTACAAAAAAATGCAAAGTGCTGCATTGATGCAAGAAACATAATGCTAGAAAATTAAAATTCAACAGTCTTTTTTTTTTTTAAACATTCTGGGCCCATAGCAACCTGTATCAAATTTTCCAACCCAAGGATGATTCCCATGAAATATACTGTACTTCGGTTTCATTTTGAGAATGCAACCTAAGTCCCTTGGCCAGACGTTGTATTCTAGGTGGGGATACAATCGTTTAAGAAATAATCCCAGTATATTTGCTTACCTTATATTACAATGTCCAGCAGTCAGAACCCAAGTTTCCTCAATCAAAATTCCTATGCAAAAGTGTTTGTTTTCAAACTGTAGGCTCACAAGCCATGGCCAAGATGATGGCGATCCTAGGTAGCCACTAAACTTTTCCAATTTTCCCTGTCCTTCCAGTGAGGTGTTTGTGGGCATTGCCTCTATGAAGAATGGATCTTCCACTGGAATTCCACATTTCCCTAGTGCCAGAAGGAAGGTCCAGTATTAATTGTATTATATACGTTCTAGCATGCAAGGGATAATTCCATAAACTGATGCAAAACTTGCAACACCTTTACTATGTCTGCTTTAAGCCCCTTTCCAACTACCTGTGAGGATTCTGGCAGTTATCCCAATTAATTCATGAGTCTCGAGTCAAACTTCCAAAACTTCAAAGGATTTATTGGGAGTTAACATGTCCAGCACTGACTGGGTGTAGCCGACTCTGAGACACATAATTTATTGTCACCCTTGACCCTGGTTTTCCATCACCCCCTGGGTGTATTATAATTCATATTCTCCAATGAGACATATCCATAGCCAAGAGTTATCAATCATGTTCTCTGGCTAGATTTTTGCACAGCAGAAACTTCTGTCATCTAGTTACTATCTCTGAAAAACTATGTATGGAATGCACTTTCGATTTCCAAGTTGCCGCACTGCTCTTTCAAACCCCTTTCCCTCCTCCCTTTCTATTGGCAACTCTAAAAAGACCATAGAAATATTTTATGAGTTGACATTACCATCTTTTTTTCAAATCAAGCATTACATTTGCTGAGAGAAGCAGCAAATAAGTAGAATTATTCTGAATAACCTCCCATACAGACATGGATTAAGAAATAATTGCTGTTTCATTCCCAACATATCACCTTCATGTTAATTAATAAAGTATACACCTGACCAAATTTGGATGACTAAACTTTCCAACTCGCAAGCTTAAAATAATATGCATTTATGGGATATTACTTACTTTCTTCAGTAGCAATTTGTTTATCTAAAAGTTCACATTATTATTGCTAGGCTATTAATATTATTGGTCACTCCTATTTTAGCAAAGTATTTCACTTACAATAATTAGCTCCAACACCTGCCAGTTAAATTAAAGTTAAAATTTTAAACATATCACCAAAGCCACAATTGATGTTCTCATATGAGAACACGGAAAGGTTTAAGAACTCAACATATCAGGAGTGTCTTCTCTTCAGGAGAAATTCAAAAAGTCAAGATGGCAGCCATACCATGCAAATGAAAGCCTGAAGCCTTGCAATTCTGTTATCTTTAATCAAGCAGCCAGTCTCAGACACTTTATCAAAATAAAGTATATTTATGCAAGAAATCAAAGAGAGCCAGTTTGATGTAGTGGTTAAAGCACCAGGCTACTATAAAAACCAGGTGATTGTAAGTTCTAGTCCCACCTTAGGCATGAAGCCATCCAGGTGATCTTGGGCTAGTCCCTGTCCCTCAGCCCTAAGAAGAAGGCAATGGCAAGCCACATCTAGAAACACTGACAAAAAAAACCCTGCACAGATTAGTCCAGGCAGTTGACAGGCGTCAAGACTGACTCGAAGGTATCAAAACAAAAATATTCCACACATAACATCAAAACAATACGGTAATTTATTGCTCAATTTTTCCTAAGATGTCTCTTTATAGGAGGCCACTTGGCCAGAAATCTATAGACATATGCATGCTGCACAGGCTTCTAAATGGGCTTCCAAAATATGTCTCTTCCAGTTTGCTTGCTCCAAATTGCTGGGTTTTTGTTTTATTTGTAAAACAGATTGAGTTTTCTGATGTATCCTAGAAGGTGACCAATTAACTTTCAAAATGAATAGGAGAAAAATACCATAATAGGAAGTTCTGTTGGGAAGCCTACAGTCTAGGGAAAACAGACTCTCACCCACCCACCCACCCTCCTCCTGCTTAAAATTATTACATGGACTGTCGAGTTCTATCCCATTCTCACTTCTCCGAACTGATCCTTGATTCATCTCTCCAAAACTGATCTTGAAGCCCTTGGCCCCAACCGAGCCATCTGTTCTGAAGTGCACCGTCAAGTAGCTGCTGCTCGAAAACAGTTGAAGGTTCCTTTTGTGGCCACACAATGTTCCTGCAAACCATAAGACAAAAAAGATGATATGCCAAAAGGTTTCAATTTACCATATGGTTGGGGAAGAGCCAGAGAACATAGGGTGAATTGTTGCTGCCTACATGAACCATGTATCTAGTCTTCCCTCTATGATTTATCCAACTGTGCTATTTATTTTCAAGATTTATTTTCTGCCTTTCCTGCAAGAACTCCAGATGGCATAGATAGTGCTTATCTTCTAAGTACTTAAGTACTGAGAAGCAACCCTGTGAGATAGATTGGGCTGAGAGACTGTAATTGCTGAATATCCCACAATAAGCTGCCAGGACAGAGGGGTGGACTTCAACCCTGGACATTTCATAAATCAGCCTCTTAGCTGCTGTACCAGACTGAAGGCATTTCCACATGGTCAGTGTTACTACCCCCAAAATGTTCATCAGAGCAACTCCTACTCTTGTGATGATTGTCCTGATCACACCATTATAACTTGCGCTTTCTCTGCTTGTCCCAACAAGCAGTGGGACATCACAATAAGCTTTTGGTCAGATCCTTGCCTGCCCTTGTCATGTTGCATTGGTCACATTGAAGAAAACAAAAGGCAGTTACTCTGAATGGGACTTGACCCCTTAGTCTGGACAGAGAATTTCATAGTACAATGGGGTTTTCTGGCCAAGGGAAGATTTGCAGCTTTAGGATGCTACCGGTTTGGTCTGGTTCTCCTGAACCGGTAGTAAAAATAACTACAATTTTGGTCAAACTGGTTCCTCTGACAATCAGCTGAGTGGATAAAAGAAGTGACAAGCACATGGGTGGGTCGGAGGGTCACTCCTAGCTTTTCGTTTCTTCATCATCTCACCTGATTGGCACATTAGTGGCACACACACGCGCATGTTAGGGGTGCATGCACATGCGATCACCCACCGAACCAGTAGCAAACAAGGTAGGAACCCACTACTGACTTGCTGCGAGTCTTTATAATGGACAAGCAGCCTCAACAGGAAGCAGATATTTTGCAATTACAACTTTTGAGTAGCTGAGCTGGAGGAAAATTGCTTGAGCTGCCCATCAAGGACCTTGGTATGGGGACCCAGAGGTACAATGTCAATGTCCCATATCCTGTCTCTCTGAGATCACCATCATTCACACCAAATGATCAGATTTTCAATGAGAAATGGTTAAAATGCATAAATATTCATAGAGGGAAAGGCAGCAGTTAATAGTCCACAGCTCCATTCGGAAAACCTCTGATGCGTTTCTAAGCCTAATCAAACAAAAAATACAATTTCTTCGCTATTTGTAGACTTGCCAACCATCTGGGCTTAATCATCAGTTTGGTAATTCCGGTCCACCATCAGGAAAGACAACAATATTTAGAGCTATGAAGTAAAAGACAGAGGACAACGCACCAAGCAATTCTGAATGTTGATCTGGTCCATCATAAAAGCTCAGGGAGTCCCAAATGCAATCTTTAGCATCCTCAATAACAACATCTAGTATCACAGTTTTTAGTTTGCTTCCTGAAGCAGAATAGATTGTCCAAGTGCAGTTTAGTAAATTAGGATAGATGTCTGGATAATTTGGAGAAACTATTTCTGCGGCCCCGACTGGGATCAAATCCAAGACCGGACATCCTTAAAGAAAAGGGAAACAACAAGGCTTCTTTTATTTCTGGCATTTTTATTTTGTCCATTATAAAACATAAAACAAACAAAACAAACCGGCCCCTCTGTTATCCAGACCAGCCTTCATTAACTTGACATCTGGCAGATGAGTTTAGACTGCAATTCACAAAGTTTCCACCCAACAGGTTGAAGCTTCTAGAATGCTAGGAACTGTCATTTCAATAGACTGTAGAAAGAGTATTTAAAAAGTGTATTTTAAAAAAAATCAATACATCCTTGGGACTGGGCCTTTTTCAGTTGCAGCATGAGGTAGCATGCCCTGTCTAGGCCACCTGCCCTAGAAACCAGGATAACCCTGAAGAACAAACAGTCCTATTGGTCTTTTACAACGTTGTGACCCAGGGATTGTAATCAAGATGTTCCAATAGATACTCTGGCATGGAGAACCTGGCATGGGTGGGTGTGATTAGCTGTCATACCTTTTCGAATATCTTTATCTTGTACAGGACCTAAATGGAAAAAGATAAAAAGGATATCATGATACATATTTATATTTATATTTATATTTATATTTATATTTATATTTATATATA